TCGGGTCTTGACCCGAAACGTCAGCTTTCCTGCTCCTCTGATGCTGCTTGGCCTGCTGTGTTCATCCAGTTCTACACCGTGTTATCTCAGATTCTCCAGCATCAGCAGTTCATACTATATCAGATTAATCAATCTTTTTGGTTACTTCCTCAAAAAAGTTTGTGAGACACGATTTCCCACACACAAGCCATGCTGACTATTCCAAATCAGTCCCTGCTTCTTCAAATACATTTAAATCCTATCTCTCAGAATCCCTTCCACAAATTACACACCACCAATGCCAGTCTCACACGTTTATCATTTTCAGGCTTCTCTTTGCAGTCTTTCTTAAATAAAGGCACAACATTAGCCACCCTCCAATCCTATGGCACCTCATCCATGGCTGTAGATGAGGCAAATATCTTTGCTAGGGGCCTGCAATTTCTTCCCTGACTTCCTATTGCATCCTGGGATGCATTTGATCAGGTCAGAAGAGGGAATGAATATTTAGTTGGTGTATGAGATGCTCGTCAAGCAGGGCTGAGTGGATTGGTGGATGTGAATATATTTTCTTGAATGTGGTCTGTTCATATTAAACACCCTTTCATCTTAGAGACACAAATACAAGACCTCATAGCAACACCCTTGCTTCAGATATTGTCACTTCCTTCACTACATCATAATACAAACAAGAGACTGCAAGAATGTCCTCATCATTATCAAAACCTGTTGACTTCTGGACCCACCATTGCCTAATCCATTCTTCTATCTCCTTCAACCTGGTCCAATAGCAATCTGGAAATACAGGAAATCACACACATAAGATCCTTGTGAATGGGAAACGCCACTAAACGTTAAGGGAAAGGAACCAGATCTACATACCAATGAAAGCTGCGGTTCAACAAAATCTCATGGCCATCAGAACAGATGTTGGCTGGGAAAACCTCAAGAAATTCAGCAACTTGCCAACTCCCATGCTGTTCATGGATCAGTCAGTGCATTTAAGACCATTATGGCCAAAACACCCAAGGACCAACCCTACTGTGAGCTAAGGAGAGTGGCGCTTATCAAGGATGAGTAGGCAGTTAGTGCTGTTGGCGGCAGTACTTTGAGGATCTTCTTGAACTAAACCCAGGCCTTGACATGAGTCCCCTCAGCTTCATTCCACAACATGCTGACCCAAACCATCTCAGCACAGCCTCAGCCTGAAGTTAAGTTGCAAAGGTCCATTTGATAGCTAAGAACTAACAAGGTCACCAACATTGATGGAATAAACACTGAAATGCTGAAATAAGGAGGAGCATACTTGGCATAATACATGAATGCATCTCCCTCATCTGGATGGTGCAGAGTATGCTAGATGATCTCCACGAGACTGTAATTATGACTAACCTCAAGAAAGCACTTAAGACTGATTGCGATATCACTCTCTGCCATCCACCACAGGGAAGATTATTTCAAGAATCCTTCTCAATCAGCGCTTCTCCCAGAGTAACAATGCAGATTCTGTCCATTCAGCGGAACCGTGGATATAATCTTCACAGCAAGCCAAGTCTTGAGAAAAGTGCAGAAAGCACCAGCAACCTCAATACATTACTTTCTTTAATCATAATGATTAACTTTAACTGTCAACTGAGAGGGTTTATTGAGTACCCTCAAATTTGGCTGCTGGCATTCTCCATCTGTTGCATGGTGATCCTCACCAACAGACCTACTACAGGCCATCCCCATCATTGCAACAATGTTTTTTTCCATAATCCTCATCTAGGAGACTTCACCCCATTCCCATGAAGCTTCACTCTGGATGGACCTCCATAGTGGGAGATCAAGTGGGAAACTACTCAGCCTACACTATTTCCAGTCTAGAATCAAGACCACCCCAAACTTCTGACATCAAGCTACAGTACACAGACAATGCTTTTATATGAGGTGAATGGATGGCTGAGCTGCAAATTGTTGTCAGTGCAGTTATGGAGCCGTACAAGACAATGGGCTTAAAGTTAAATATTCAGAAGACAAAAATCAAGCCTGCTGTGCAACATTGTCTCCCCACTCCAAATCTGAACCACTGAGCAACATGGATCAGTTGTCATACTGTGGGACCCTCATTTCAGCGAGAACAGGCATCAACAATGAAATTCAACTTAATCTCTAATGCACCAGTGCAACCTTTGGCTATCTGAGGACTAGAGAATTTGATTGAAAAGACCTCACATCCATGCCAAGCTCATAGCCTATAGGGCAAACTGTATGTAACAGAGATGTGAACAACATGTAGCGGACACCTCAAATCCCAAGAGAAATATCACCAGTGATGCCTGTGCAATTTTCTGAAAATCCAATGGCAGCATAGGTGTCCCAATATCAGTGTCCTTCCTCTCTCAGGCCAATATCACCAGCATCAAGGGACTAGTTACACTCAATCAGTTGAGCATGCCTAACACAAAACTCCCAAAATTAGCTCTCTATTCTGAACTTTGTCATGTTAAGGTTATCAGGAAGGCAGAGGAAATGCTTCAGGGACATCCTCAAAGCTTCCTTGAAAAATTGTAACAGCCCACCAACTCATGGGAAACTCTTGCTCAAGTCCACTCACACTGGAGAAGAAGCATCCACAAAGGTGGCAACCATTTTGAGCATCTTTGACAGGCCCTAGTGAAGGCCAAA